GCCATGGCCTCCAGTCGGCAAGCCAAAATCGAAAGGTAGGTCTGTGTCTGCGGCGCTTGGAGGCTCTCGGGGGTCGGGTTGAGAGAAGGGGAGATCCTCAGGCAGCGCGGGATTGTACAGACAAGGGCCGTCGGCAAAGAGCGGGTTCCCTTGGTACGGGAACGCCTTGATCGTGAAACAGTGACGTTAACAAACGCGCGCGCGGGATTGTACAGACAAGGGCCGTCGGCAAAGAGCGGGTTCCCTTGGTACGGGAACGCCTTGATCGTGAAACAGTGACGTTAACAAACGCGCCGCGTACTGCTGAGCGGTGTCGGATTGTCCGCGGGCTGGGGAGATGCATTTGTGTCTTCAGGTTCTGGTCTTTGAAGAAGAGCTGCCCGAAAGCTCTTACGATTAGTTCTTTAATCACTGCTGACTGCGTAAAGCCACCCACTCCGGAAGGTTCCTACCTATGTGCTTATCAAATCTTTAAACAGGAGGTGGCGGATGGCCCTGCCTTGGCTGAGGATTTTGACAGTCAAGGTGTCGCTTATTGAGGTAGCGCTGAAAGGCTCAGGCTGGGCTGAAGAGTTTTCTGAATCACGTGAATACAAAAATAAATTTATGTTCTAGAAAGTAACCTACCTGGGATGGGTTTGGCTTACTAGAATGCAGCAGGGCCTTGGGGGCCAGCTCAGCAGAGCCTGTTTGGCCTGGGCGGGTTGTCAGAGCTGTGCATCACCTCCCGAGGGCGGGTGAGCGGCTTCGGCGCTGCGGGCAGGGCTTGGGTTACGCCTCAGCTCCCCTCTTGCTGAGGGCCTGTGTCTGCCCGTGCTGTGCCTCCTTCTGCGTGAGGACGAACAGGAGGTGCCTGCAATGCGAGGTCTGTGGCAGGCAGGTTGGTACTTGATCAGGGCGAGGCGTTGCAGTTGTATTTGCTCTCGGTAAAATGCATAGACTGCGCGGAAACCTTCCGCAGAAGGCCTGTCTCGTCACTCTGGCCCCGGGCCTGTCTCATCCAAGCTGCCTTCAGCCTCGCTCTCTGAAGGAGCACGCGATCCGGCGTCCCGGGGAGCAGGGGGGGATCGCAGCAGCCAGCAGCAGAGAACTTATCCCGCTGTGAAGCGGAAAGACAGCGATGGAGAGGTTTGCTTTGCCGCCCTGCAGCCCAGGGCCGCGCAGGCAGGTGCTCAGCCAGTTACAGTGTTTTTCAGGGTTCTTGTGGAGCACTCCTGGATGGGTTTGTTTTTCAGAGTGGCTCTTGTGTGGTCCTTGTCCCTTCAGCTCCCGCAGGTTTCTAATCCTTGGTTCTTACTGTTCATTCTTCAGGTGGCACTGAAGTGAGGGAAGTGGGACACAAGGATTTAGCCTGGAAGTGTATTACATGGGTAGCTTCCTCCCCTTAACTAATTCCTGAAAAGGTCCAAAAAGTCCAGAAAGCCAAAATCAGATTAAAAAGAACATACCCACACACACAAAATCACATGAGACAGAAATTGGAGAAGTGTTTTAATCTGCCTTATAAGCAGCTTCTTGGTATCTTTGTGTTGCGAAGCAGCAACTGAAACTAGCTAGTATATTGGATTTCTCAGTGAAGGAGCCAAAGAGTTAAATTCCTTTTTCTCCAGGAGATTAGTGTTGCCAGGCTTGCCTAATTTTGCCCTGGAGGCTTAATTTTCTAGGGTTGCAGACCTTTCAGCAGAAGAATAACTGAGAGGCCTCACTAAATTGAAACTATCTGCTTAAAGCTGTTTTTAACAGACAGGAGCTACTTAAATCACAACAGTAAACCATCAGAACCTCCCTTTTGTATACAGTTTTCTTTTTAAATACATGAAATCGTGTAAAACCTCTTAACAAAGAGTAGCAAAGATCCGATGTGAGGTCTAGATTTGAGTCAACGGATGGGAGTGATGGGGAAGATGGGAGGAAGAGATTTGGGTGCTGCATGTGTGTATATGACTGTGCATTTTTCAAAGCTTCTTTTTAAGCAGATTGGAACTCTTCTGATTTCTGTAGTTTTCCTTTGTCAAGAAGCTTCTGTTGTCAGTCAGGTGAGGTGGGGAGATGCATCCCCCTGCTTGGCGTCAACGATGATCAGCGTGAGGTGGTGCTGCCAGTGCTCCTCCTCTGCTTCCCAGGTACCTTCCTGTACGTGTCTGCTTCACTTCTGCAGGCCTCTTACTCAGCTGTTAAAGGAGTGGGTCCTCCTCGCACAAGGAAGACGTGAGGAGCTTTATGAATATCTGGGATTTGCGTGCCCAGATATGAGCACTGGTCAGCGACTGGCACCCCTGTGACAAGCAGCTGAAGGGGGATCAGGGCAGGAGGGAGCTCTCTCGCTACATTTTATGGCATTTCAAGAAATAGGAAATTTTTAGGTTTAGGAAACACTGTGGGCTGTGCTGGAGAAAGGTTATTTGATGATCTCCTTCTGTTCTCTTTGAGACAGATACAAGCAGAAGAAGGAACTGGAGAACAGGCTGGCCTCTATGAAAACCTTTGTGGAGAGCGGGCAGGCGGATGAGGATCAGATACGGGAATTTTACATACTACAAATCCAGAAATGGATCAACACCAGCCTGGAGGAAATTGAGAGCATCGACCAAGAAGTGGTCATCCTGAGGAGCAGAGGTGCAGCGAAACAGGTACGAGGTCTCTCTTGCGCCGCAGGTCCTGCGGACTCAGGGTAGTTCGCCCTGATGATAGACAGCGTTGTGGGTGAAGGAACTTCGGAGGAATCCAGCAGCAGAGTTTCACAAGCTTTCTTCTGTGAATTCTTGGTTGAAATTTAGTTCGATCAGAGCACAAGCAGTTGGGGTTTGGTTTAATTCTGAATGGCCGGGGGTGTGGTTTCTGGATTAGCCACTGTCTGGTGCTGCCACGCGTTGTAGACCGTCGTGGCTTGTGAATGCTAGAGTGCTGAGAATCAGAGCTCAACTGGTCTGCGTGCAGAGGCTTTTCTCTGCCTTGCTGGGTTCTGCCAGACCCTTAACTCGAAAGAACTAATTAGCTGTAAACTAAAAGAAAGACCCCTGCGATTTCTTTCAAGCCTACTCTTCTGGTCTACAAAATGTCCAGACCTTACAGAAAGCAATGCCCGTTCTGAATGCTGAAAGCTTCTCACAGACCTGCGATTCCTGTGCAGAGTAGAGTTTTTGGGCTCTATGTGATCACCAAAAATGTCTGCCTAGAAATAAACCATCATAATGTGCTGGCACAGACCGTCGCCCAGCTTTGCTGGCACAGCTGGCTCGCGCAGTTTGTTACTGGCATGGCAGAACTCTGCCTTTCTGTAGTGCCCTGGGTGATAGCTTCAGGAGTGGTGGGCTCTGCTTGCTTCAGAAGGTGCTGCGTGTGATGCCTGGGAACAACAAGCCGTGTTTCATGCTTTGATCTGCGCTGGTCTGGTTTAGCTCTGTCAGCTTTCTGCTCTGATCAGAACGGGCACAGAGAGAAGTCATTTGTAGAATCTCACAGATGGAGTTCATGATTTAAACTGGATTAAGGCCTGAATTGTCTGTCTTGGGACGTTTCTCTGACAGCAGAGGCATTTCTCTTCTACGAGACCTTCAAGAGCTTGTTGGGGGTGGGAAGCAGAGGAGGGGATTCTCATCTGGGATTCTCTTGTGACTGGTGTTTGCATCTTCAGTCTTCAGCACCGCCGCACGGTACCTCTCGGCAAGCCAGGGCTCCGCTGAAACCTTTCATTCTCACCCGGGATGCTGCTCAGGCTAAGTATGTTGTTTTCTGATTACTTAGATGCAGGGGGATGCAGTGCTCTGTTCTCACGTCAAGCCTGAGATGCTCTTGCAGATGCAGAAAACCTGTCATTACCTTCAGGCAGCGTAGTGGCACGTGCTGAAGGGTGGGTGTCAGGAGGATGGGGCCAAGCTCTTTTCAGTGGTGCCCAGTGACAGGACAAGGGGCAATGGGCACAACAC